CTGGGAATTGAACTCAGGACCTCTGGAAGAACTGTCAGTGCTCTTAACCCCTGAGCCATCTCTCCAGCCCCACCCCCTCCCCCGGGCCGCTTTTTAAGCGGTGTGGAAAGTAGAGTAAGAATAAAACCCTGGGCCAGGGAGGCAGGGTTATGGCGCACGTCTGTGATTCCTGCATCTGGGAAGTGGAGGCAGGTGGATCAGGAGTTCCAGGCTATCCTCTGCTACATAGAGTTTGGGGCGCCGTCTTGAGTACATAGTGTTGTGCCCAAGTTCTGAAACCCCGAAATCACCAAGAGACCCATTTTGATGTGCAAAAGCAGAGTCTTTTATTGTAATTTGGGGTTAGCTGGTTAAACAACCACAGTAAAAGACTCTTTTGCATCGAAATGCGTCTCCTGATGATTTGGGGGTTTCAGAATTTGGGCACACCACCTTATCTTTTTCCCTTTCAGAGACAGGATCTTGCTTCATTGCTTCGGCTGGACTGGTAATTTACAGATCAGGCTGGGCTCAAACTTGTGACAGTCTTCTTACCTCCGTGCTAAGTGCACAGACTCTAAAAGTAGCTACTCTTATTGTTTATTTATCTTTTTTGTTTTTTGTTTTTCGAGACAGGGTTTCTCTGTGTAGCTTTGGAGCCTATCCTGGCACTCGCTCTGGAGACCAGGCTGGCCTCGAACTCACAGAGATCCGCCTGCCTCTGTCTCCCGAGTGCTGGGATTAAAGGCGTGCGCCACCAAGGCCAGGCTGTTTATCTTTAACTTTTACTAGTGCACGTGTGTCTGTATGGACATGTGTACCACGTACCAGGTCATGTGATCAGAGAACAACGGTGGGAGTCAGTTCTCTCCACTATGTGGGTCCCAAGGATTGAATTCAGGTAGCCAGGCTTGGTGGCAAGTACCTTTACCCTGCTGAGCTATCTTGCTGGCCCTAAAGTACTTTTAGCTATCTGTTTTAGAGGTGTAAGTAAATTCCCTAAGACCACACAGATAGTAAGCAGCAGCTAGTATTAAACGTGAATAAATTATAACTTCATACTTAAGCAATATCACTTTTAAAACAGTAGAGTGTATTCTCCAGGGGAAAGATCAGTTAACCTGTCCATCCTGAGACCCCTTGCTTTACTGAACATCCACAGTGCAGAACCACTCAAGACTGCACCTGGTGCCATCACCCTTTACAGAGTCCCTCACAAACTCCTCTCCAGAACTATGCAAAGAGCTTTACAGACAATGAGCCGAAAGCCCAGGGAGAGCAGGGATGTTTCTCCATGATGGAGAATGTGCTGCAAGCCAGGTGCTCCCAATTTCGAGGCCTTCAGGGGGCCTGGATTTGCCACTTCATTGTCACAACCAAACCTCAGCACCTGGAACACATGGCCTGATACAAAGCAGGCTCAGTAAACATGTTAAAAAACAAACAAAATGCTGTGAGTATTGTTCTGGAGTAGGTTTTAAACCAGGGTTGGTAACTTTAGGAGTAGGAATATGTGTTGCCTGCTATTTTGGGACCATTGAATAGTACCATAGCTCACTTGCCTTCCAGTGACAGGAGACAGAGATGGTAACAGCATTACTGGTGTTGTGGGTAAATTTTCATCTGTCACATTATTTTGTAAACAAAGTTTTGCTGAAACAAAAAAACAAACAAAAACAAAACAAAACAAAACAAAAAAACCCGTCAACTCTGGGCCAGGCAGATGGCTCAGATGGCTCAGACGGTAAACCGGCTTGCAGTGTAAGCCTCACGGCCCAAGTTCTGTCTGAGGAATCCAGATTGAAAAAAGCCAGATGAGGAGATGCATATCTGTAACCCCAGGACTCTTAGCTTGGAGTACTCAATATAGCAGTATACAGAAGACCCTGCCTTGCCCAAGTCTTTAATTCTAGTACTGAGGAGATGGAGGCAGGCAGAGCTCTGAGAGTTGAGGCCAGCCTGGTCTACAGCCGAAGTTACATAGTGAGACCCTGCCTTGGAACGATACATAACAAAAAGAGGATTGACTGACAGTGTCTTCTGACCCCCACACGTGGGCCAGGGCACCTGTGTATATACATATTTACAGACCTCCAACCTTGTGGTAGGCCCTTGGCCAATATGTTGTTAGTTAGTACTGACATTTCACATGGGGCAGTCTCCAGACGTAGTGTGGGTATGGAAGTAAGGAGCTGGAGAATTCCAGATTCCTGGTTTGGTGAGGAAGAGCCTCTGGCTGGTGGGCCTAGGACTGTGCTCCCTGCTGGCACCCAGCAGTTGTTCTGTGAATTGAGAGGATGGGATGTGAAGGCTGCCATGGCCTCTCAAATTCTGTGTCTGTGTGTGTGTAATGAATGTATCACACACAGTCCATACTCACGGCAAGATGGGGCACCAGCTGCCCTTTCTGTCACTGTTAGCTCCTTGAGACAGGTTCTCTTGCTGAACCTGATACTAGGCTTCTGGCCACTAAGCCCGAGCAATCCTGTCAGTGCTGAACCTTCCTGGGTTACAGGTATATGTGGCCATGCCAGTGTTTTGTTTGACAGGGTTTCTCTGTGTGGCTCTGGCTGTCCTGGACCTCACTCTGTAAACTGGGCTGTCCTCAAACTCACATAGATCCACCTGCCTCTGCCTCCTGAGCTGGGGCTAAAGGTGTGCATCACCAACAACCACCTAAGTATTAAAATTCTGTATGTTTGCTTCTATCTATAAGGATGTATACTGCTGTTAGCAATATGTAGCATCAGAAGATCCACATACTAGAGGAATTTTTTGTTGTTGTTCTCTCATTTCTGGCTTTGTGCATGCCAGTACTGCACACTCATCTTTGGAGGGATTTTAATATAAAGTTCATGAGCAGAGGATGGGTTTTCTCTCTGAAGGGTGAGATGAGCTTGTCCCCAATTTTGATGGTGGGAATGAATCATTCTAGGCAGCATTTCCACCATGAAGTTGCAAAAAAAAAAAAAAAAAAAAAAAAAGTACACAAAGGAAGGGG